CACATAATCCTGATTTACAGGATAATCCTGATTTACAGGATGTAGGTGCTGCAGGAACTGAAATTTTGCTGAGGTCAAGCCACCCCTCCTCGAGCTGAGAGCTTTTGGGCTGCATCTTCCTTGAGTGAGCAATGACCTGTGAGAGCCTCAATCCCTGGGCTGCAGGGTGTTCTCCAACAAACCCTTCCTCTTTTTGTTTTTTTTTTTTTAACTTTAAAGGCTTTTGGGCTTGAATGGAAGCAAACACCACAACCTGGCTGCTCTTGGGTTCCACACAGCAAACCTGGCTGGGCTGAGCCAGTGAAGGAGGTGTTTTGGCTGGAGAGAGAAGAATGTATTGTTCAGAGACCTTTTGTGCTTAGAGGTTTGTTCTGTGGTTAATGGTGTGCTGTGAGCCGTGGCCCACGGGGGGAGGTGCTGTATTCCAAGGAATTCCTTCATATCCAGTGTATGTACTGCAAACCTAATCCCAGGCTCCTATGGAAACCGAGTCTAATGGATCCCCCTGCGTTTTGGGAGGGAATTTAATTGATCCTATTTCCCCTTCACTAGTTTTAGGAGAAGAAAGGAGCTGCTCTTCCTGATGCTCAAGGAGAGGTCTTGCTCAGTGTGAACAGGCAGTGCCAAATAATTCACTCCAGATCTCCATTTTCAAGAGAACTCCAGCTGAGAGGCAGGTCCTGGAACCTTTGCCCTGTTGCTGTCTTCTGATGGATCTCATTGCCAAGCCCTGACATTGATTTAATTTGTATTGTTTGCTGTCTCTGGCTCCGCTGTCCCCTGGAATTTGGAGACAGAACAGTGCCTGGACAAATTAACTGTGAAAGCACTGACCTAATGCTGGAAAGATACACCATGTGCTGTGCTGTTGGAATCATATTTGACAATTTCTGGAATTCTGGATGGTATCTGAAGCATCTGGGGACTGCTGCTGTGTATGAGGTCAGGACTGAGATGCCTCGTAATAATTCATGGGCTCAAGTCTTTAATGGTTATTGCTGACATGAGAGTTATTTCTTTTGAAAGGGAAGGCACAAAATAGGCATTAATCTATAGCTGGTATCTTCTAAAAATATCTACATAAATATATCTACCTATATATTCTATGTATAAATATAAATAGAATATCTATATAGATTAGCCTCTAAGCAGAAAGCCCTGTTGGAATCAGCCTCTTTTCTACCTCTCAAAATATTGTTAAAATGGGGAGCAACTCGTGATAAAATATATACAGATATATAAATATTGGATATGTGGTAAAATCTATAAATATGTAAATACTGGACATGTGATAAAACATATAAATATGTAAATACTGGACATGTGACAAAACATATCTTCCACAAGTTTTGTGGAATAATATCCCATAGCAGAGCTTGGGTACATGTCCCACATTGCTGTCCACGAGGCTGGTGATGGCAGTGCTGAGATTCCAGGAGGAACTGAGAATCACTGCTCCTAGTTTTTGGGATGGGTGACCTGGAATTCACTTCTCAGGTGTCTGGGCTGTGCTTTGCCCTGTGAGTACAGGTATGCACACACCTTATTTTAATTCAATATTGGCCAAATAACAGACATATTCAATTCCTGTGCCAGAGAGCACTTGATGCAATTTATCCAAGCACTGATTTCCCACTGAGTGGAGTTTTAATTGAAATATTGCACCGAGCAGGGAAGAACTGGGGAGAGCATGAGCTTCCCTCTTGCTTTATAACACAGTGTGGCTGGTATTTCTTGCCCTGCAGGCTGTGAAATTTGTCATCTGCCTTGTAACACAGTCCTTGGGTTCCATAAAACAACACATGCAGGTGTCTGGTGTCACACAGCCAAAATAAAACGGGCTGGACTGTTCAGCTGCTGGCTGGGAGGGCAGGATTTAAAGGGACAGAGCTGCAGGGCCCCCAGACAGGAATTGTTAGTCAATACTTGCTGCTTGGATGTATCCACAAGTTAAATTGTAATAAAACTCATCTCACTGAACATGCAAAGACCAAAAGGTGGCTGAAGACCTCGTGCAAGTTCCAGTTCCAGAGATAACATGACTGGTCTTGCAGGAGGCTGTTAGAATGTGAAAGTAAATGCTGATAAGTATACATATTTTTTTAAAAAATTTATTTAAAAATCATAAAGTTACTCCAGAATTTTCACCAAAAAAAGAAAAAAAAGAGGAAAAAGGTGTGTTTTGGAATTTGAAAATCAAGGTTCTGGCCTGTGTTGTGGGCATGGCAGGGCTCTCATGCAGAAACTGCCACTTGCAACTGTGTGCACAGGAAGGAAAATGAGGTGGAATTGTAGGAAAAGGGGAATTCTGCTTGAATTCTCCCAAGTCTGTAAGTGCAGTGATCTCCCTGCCTGACCTGGCAGAGCTGCTGTAGCCTGATGTGCATGTGAGTGACTTGGTTTGCCTTCTGCATAAGCTGGATGTGATTCCTGTGTTTAAAAAGAATAGCTTTTAACTGATCAAACTGCTTTCTTACAGTGTAATCTCAGTGCCTGCTACTCCTCTGTGTCCATCCAGCAGGGATGGCATTTTGCTGTCCCTTAAAAAGGTGGGAAAAGCTCTTCTGGAAAGGACTGCCAGAGAATCTGGGCTGGCATTAGCTCATGTGCTTCATTCAGGGAAGGGATTTTTATTTTTTTTAATAGGATTTTTCTTTCTTCATGGTTTAATTTGTGAACCCTCTTCAGAGAACACTGGAAAACCCAGAATATTTGATGAGGAGAAAGGCAGAGAGGTTGTTGATCAGCATAAAGCATTGACAACCATTTGTTGCTGGAATAAATCCATCATTAGATGGATCATTAAACCACAGGGGCAGTCATTAAAAAAGGCTCTGGCAACACACAGTTCTCATGGAAGCAGTGATTTGTACAGAAATGGTGCTTGAGAGAATTATTTCAGTTGTATATATGAAAGGGGTGGGAAAGGATCCCTGTTTTAAGTGAATTCAATTAGTGTTCAGTGAGGACGAGGGTGAGGAATTCGTGCTGGCAACTAAAAGCAGATTTGTGACACAGATTTGTGGTTTTATGCAACCTTTTCCTTGCATAAAACAGTGATTTCCAAATGTTCCTCCGGCCCAGAGCAACACAGGATGAGTCTCTTGTTGATTAATAAAATAATATCCAGGGGGATTGAGGGTTTGCAGCGTCCTGTGCAATTCCTGACCAAGGGAACCATGCCAAAGTTTGCAAACTTTGACCCTTATTTATACTTATTTCTGTGATTAAGAATCTTGTGTAGCTGATAAAAGATTCCTCAGGAGATCAAACTCATTAATACACAGAGAGAAACTTTGATAGTCTCCAAAGGGCTCTCCAAACCTGGAGAGTTGCTCAAGCTCTTAACTTCCAGAATGAGCAGAGCAGAAAGGACAGCACAGGAATTAAATACAGCAATTGAGGATTTAACACCCGCCCTGTCATTTCAGTGAAATATTTCCTTCCCCCTTCCTCCTGCTGTTATCAATCTTCCCTTTCTGACACGTTTCACAGCAGTTTCTGATGTTCAGAGCTCTTGCGAAGTTTATTTTCAAACAAAACTGAGGCAGCCCGTGCAAGAATAACTATTTTCATTTGGGCTGACAAATATTTTCTAACCTGAAGCTAATATTTTTAAAAGGTTCAGGCTGTTGAACAATGAAAACTAAAGCTGTCTCAGGTTGATTTAGAGATTTTTTTATTTTTTTTTTTTTCCTGACAGCACACAGCTGAATTCCAGTCACTGCCTTGGAGTTTTAAATTCTATGTCCCTTTTCTCAGCTGAAAACACAGCTTTGTGCAGGAGCATTCAGTGAAATTCAGAGGATCCCGATGGAGAATCTGTCACACTGTTTTTCCTGATGTGGTTTCATCACCACCAGGATTTTGCCTTGTCCTGTGGCTGCTGTTCCAAGTGCTGGACCCTTGGCAGAGCTTCCTTAGTGTATTAATGCCTGAGAAATGTGCTCTGTGTCTTCCTCCTGCTGTGACATCTGTTCTGCATGTGTAATTGTCTTCGTGTGGTGTCTTTGTTGGTTCCTGGACCTGAGAGCACCCATCACCCACTGTCATTTTGGAAGCAGCATCACTGCCCTCCAGAGAACTCTTTTTTTATCGGCTTTCACTGGTGTGAAACGGAGCTAAAAACCCAACCAGCTGCCCAGTGCTGGTGTTTTTTTAGCTGCTCCTCAACCCTTCTCCTCCTTCGCCTTCTCTGTGAGCAGTCAATGAGGACAAAAAAACACCCCAGCCAGTTGTGAAAGGAGGCAGAAATTCCGAGTTCGCTCCCTCCCTCCCTGCACAGGGTGGGATTTCTGAGCAGGAAGGTGGGACAAGGAGAGCAACCCCTGTCCAATTGGCTTCTCCAGGAAGGCTGTTAGCCCTCCTTACCCCGTGATTTGTAGCAGCAGCATATTTGCTAATAAAAACCCTGTCTCTCTCGGGATTAAGAGCGCGGTTCCACTCGCAACAGCTGCCTGCGTGTGTCTGACCCGCTGCGGGAAGGGAACGGGCTGCTCCTGCTGCTCCTTCTCCCGATTTTATCGAGTGTTGTTCCCTCCCCTTCCCTCTGTTTCTCTCTGACCTCCTCACAGCTCCGGCCGCTCCGTCTCTTGAGAAGACTCAGCTGACTTTCCTAGAGCAGCCCCAGGAGATTTTTCTTTCCCGAGCCAACATTAGGCAGAGGACAGAAGAGGGGGGAAGCTGAACCCGAGCCAAGCCCTTTGCTGGCAAACCCTCGTCTCGGTGCTAAACCTGCTCTGAGCCAGACCAGGCAGGGGAGGGACTTTGTTTTGTAGAGACAGAGGAGGAGGAAAAAGAAACTTGAGCCTGGCTTCCCCCTGTGGCATGTCTGTGCCCCGAACATCCCCTCCCCACCCCGCCGGCTGTTAAATGAGAGCACGTGAAGAACATGAGGTTTCCTGCTTGAGCAGGGCGGGCAGTGCTGGACCGGGCGAGGGAGGAGGAGGAGGAGGAGGAGGAGGAGGAAGGCGAGTTGTGGCTTTGTGGTGTGGTTTACACCGAGATCAGAGCGAGAGCGCCTGGGGGTGGGAGCAGAAGGAGAGCAAGGGCGTCTGATGCCAGCTGCCAACATGACAGAAACCCTGCAGCTCCCAGCCCTGCAAGTGCCCGAGCAGCAGGGGCTGGAGGGCTGTGCCTGGTCCAGCTCGTCCACCCCGACCCTGCGCAGGAAGCGCTTCAAGATGAGGCGGATGAAGAACGTGCAGGAGCAGAGCCTGGAGGCCGGCAGGTACCAGGATTCTCCTTCCTCCAGCAAGGAATACCTGCAGCTCCCATCCATTGAGATCACCCCCTCCAGTGACGAGGACACCCCCTGGTCCAACTGCTCCACACCCAGTGCTTCCCCGCGGCGCAAGCGCTTCCTCCTTCGGAAGTGGCTGCGCGTCAGAGAGAAGAAGGAGTGCAGTGAGAGCAGGTATGTTCTTTGGCCACTTCCCCTTCCCTGCTCCCAACGTGACCCTGTCCATGTAGGCAGGCAGGGGCTGTGTTCCCCTGGATGCATTGGTGTGCTTTTCCCTGGCTGGAACATCGTGGTGTTGGTTGGACTTGCTGGTGCCAGACCAAGTGGCCTGATCCTTGTGTGAGGACAGGAGGTGTGTTAGAAACAGCAGTGCTGGGGTCTGTCCTTGCTCATGGTCCTACAGATAACACAGAGCCAGTGAAAACAACTCCCTGCTGAGAGAGGGAGACTGTCCCGAAGGAGTGGGTGGTGATAAGACTTAACTTCATAAAGGTGACCTGAAGAGACCCTTGAGAGCGAGAGAGGAGGTGACCTCCCTGCTGGCATTGCCTGCACAGGAGTGATGATGCCAGACCTTTGTTAATGCTGGTGGTGCCTGTTCCTCCCGCTGAGACCTTCCCTGTCATCCTTTGTAGCTGCTGTTGGGAGGAAGCGAGGACGAGACAGAAACCAAGTAGGTGAGTCTGCACATCAAGGTGCCTGGGTTCCCTTCTTGGCAGCTTTCCAGACCCAAAAGTCACTTGGTCTTTTGGCTCAAAAGGGGACAAATCATTCACAAAGGCTTCCAAGACCTTGTCAACACAGGGAAATTAATGCCCAGGGAGTTATTGTGTGGCCACACAAAGATAAAGCTGTACCTGGTGTAACCCCTGCAGGTGCAGTCAGGCCATACAACATGCAGTGGAATCAACCCTACCTTTAACAGGGGGGTGGAACAATCTACCTTTCCTGAAGGCCCCAAATACACAAGAAACTCTAAAGGTTTCTCCAAGAAATTAGTGCTGTATAAATCTTCATACTGGCTTGGTGTGGGCCAAGTTTTCTTTTGTTGTTTGCAACTCCCATGCAGCTGATCTGTGGGTTTGTCCCTGAAAGGATGTGCTGCACTTCCATAAGAAGAGAAACTCAACTCTTACCATTCCTACACCCAACATGCTGGGTTGAGTCACTGCTGTGTTGCTTCAGTGTTTACAGGACAGAGCTTTTAATATCCACTCTGATTTTGTGATAAGTCTTCTCGCACGAGGTCCCTTTAGCAAGGTCAGTCTGTCATTGTATTAATTTTTAAAGAAGTTTCCTCAATAAATGCATGCCACTGAGGATTTGATAACCCCTCTCAGTAACTCAACATTGAAAAACATCTCCTGGTCGGGAACTATTACTGATTTTCACGTAGCTGTGGTGATTTAAGTAGTGATTCAGTGGCACCACACAAAATGGGAAAGATAAGACGTAAGACAAGTGTCAGAATCTCCAACTTTAAGGTCTGAAGTTCAACAGAGGATGGCTCTTCAGCTGAAGGATTTATTCTGGATTTATTGATGGTGGATGTGTTTGAGACAGAGGCCAAGACACGTTTCTTTTGGTGTGAATGCGTAAGAAAACTTAGTTTGTTCTCGTGCCCATATTTCCTGGCCGTGCTGACAGCTTTCTGCTCGTCCATCTCCCAGACATTTCTGCCTGGATATGCTTTTGAAGCAGTCATTGGAAAAGAGGTGAAGTGTTTGATGGATTAGGTGGCATTAGCATTCCAAAGCCAGCATGGCACCTCTTTTCTTCACGTGCAACAGGCTCCAAATCGATCCCTTTTGCAATGGGAAACACAGTGTTTTCAGATGGAATTTTTCCCTTTCTAGTCCAGATGGAAAAACCCCATCTGGGGGGTTTTTGGTCACTGTGCTGATCCTCTGGGCTTGGAGGGTGCAGAGATCATCACTGGGCTTTCACAACTCAGCAGGTGCTGAAAGGGCACAGAGGAAGCAGAATCTGTGGGTAACTGGCCACAGAAAGTGTGATGAACCCTAAAGGATTTTGTGGCATTTATTTGAGAGACTTAACAGCTCAAACTGTGGGGTAAACCTGAGTTTTGCCTGTGAAACCCTGCTCTAAAATAGCAGGGCAGGAAGCTGGTTTCCTATAAATCAAACAAGTACTGCTTGTTTGCCTTCCCTGCTTTAGACTTTGTCATCAGCCTCTCGAGGCCACTCATGTTTGTAACAGATGCTCTGCAACATAATTAATTATATTACATAATATATTATATGCAATAATATTAATATATAAAATAGATATTAATATATAGAATATATATTAATATATAAAATACTAATATATAAAATACATATTTGTATTTTATATAATATATAAAATCTATTAATATATGGAATATATACTAATATATAGAATACATATAATGTATAGGATATATATTAATAAATATACATTAATGTATAGGATATATATTAATAAATATACATTAATGTATAGGATATATATTAATATAATTTATTGTGCTGTTTGTTTGTTTAAGGGCAACAACCTTCAGTGTTTTGTCCAGGGGTTTATTCACCAAGCCCTGTTTTGGAGTTGAGCTGTTGGTGGTGCTTGGCCTGTCCAGCAGTTTAGTTACACTGTAGTAACAAGGATTCCCAAGGGGGCCAGGAGTGCAGGCATCCTATTAGGACGTGCAGATTCCCAAATTTAGGTATTGATCCCATTAAGCAGGATTCCCAAATTTCACCTGCTAAAGGGTTGCAGCTCCCACCGCAGGAATCCAGTTTGCTGCCAGTGGCTCCCTCTCTCTGGTTAAAGTGCCATCAATCAGCTTGAATTTCATTTTTGGCCTCTGGCAGCCTTTACACCCGTCCTGTGGCCGGTGGTGTGGCTGTTTGTGTGGCAGGGTTTTCCCAGGAAAGCTGGTGCTGTGCTCACATGCCCCAGAGCAAGAGCTCGGTGACCATTAGCACACAGAGAGCATCCAAGTGAATAAACAAAGGCTTTTAGGACTCCAAGGGCTGTCTCTAACGCTCCAGCTCTGCTTTTCCCACCAGGAAACTCCAGCCCACAACACCTCCTGTATCAGCTGGTTGGTTTTTAACAGCCTGGGTGGTTCGAAGGTGTGTTTACCTGCTGTGTTGGGTGGCTGATGGAGCAGGAGGGAGACTTCCTTTCCTTCCATTTAACAGCAGAGATGGCATTTGAGAGCCTCTCTTGCCTCTGACACAGTTTTGTTCGAGGTGAAAGAGCAGAAAGGTGCCATGTCTCAGGGGTAGGACTCTCCCTGCAACTTGTCCTTGTGCAAAAGCATGATCCAAGCTACAAAGTTGGTGTTTTGGGGGCCTACAGATGATAAATATATTGATTTTGATAAGGGGTGCAGACAGCTTCTTACCTGTACTCCTCACCCAGGTAATGAAGTTATTTACCTGCATAGAGCTCTGTAAAATATGAACCCAGGTGCACAAGTCTTTTATTAAGACATGATGATGTTTCTGTCTTCAGAGGCTGGAGATGCAATCTGTCAGCATTTTGCTGTGCATGTAATGAACATGCATTATTGATGTGGGGGTAAGGGAGTTTATCTGCTTTAATTTATTATTTACTTCTTAAAGCCACCCTTGCCTGTAATCTCTGCTGGCTCAGTCCTTCCCCAGAGCTCCTTTTGCCTTGAGCTCTCCAAGATCCCCTTGTTTTGCCTTCTTGTCCTAAAGATGAATTTGTCTGGTCAATCCCAGCATCCAGACTAGTTAAGAATGAAATGTAAGACTGTGAAATTTGTGGATTTTGAGGGGAATACCTGTGCAGTAGCTCTGACATTCCTAAAGATGGATGTACTCAGGTTGGTTTTCTGCTGGAAACTCTGACACTCCCCGTGGGTTCACCTGAAAGCAAAGACTTGCCTAAGTCCTAAAATGCCTCTAATGTGTTAAAAATGAAGTGTATTATTGGAAGCACATCTTGGAAAAGTGGCTGTGCTGAGGAGATGGAGGTTTTTTGAGCTGCCAGATAGACAACTGCAGAAGTTTTTCAGCTGAAATCTTTAACTTACCTGACAGTATCAAATAAATGCCAGGAGACTCTCTGGACTGCTCAGCAGTTTGCTTTGTGGCTGCCACTCCTCACACGGTGTGGAAAGAGGCAAAACTTCTATTTTTTACCTTAAAAACACTTCCACTTGTCAAGTCTCTTGGTCACCTTAGTGAGACACATCAGTGAACTGCTGGTTTGTTGGAACATGAGCTAAAAATATTAGTTACAAAGAGGTGGCTCAGATATTTTGAATCTTTAATTTAAATGAATCTTTAATTTCAACTAGTTCATAATGCTTTTGCTTTCCTTAAGAAAATTGAAACCCACAGTGTTTCTGGGGATAAATTAATGCTTCATTCACCTCTTTCTTCCTTGAACATGTAAAAAAAATATTGTGTTTTCTAGAGGAAAACATGTGAAAGCCAGTGATGTGGGTTTTTTTCCCCCCTAAGTAACTGCTAATTATGAAAAATAAAACCCTGAAAAGCTTCAAGATTAAAGGCTGTTGAGCCTCTCCCATCGTGGAAACGTGATCCAAGTGGACTTCTGTCTTTGGGGAATGTTAGTGGAGGGATTTGCTGAGCTGGGAACAAGCACTCGATGGAGAGGGAGCTGTTGGAGCTGCTGCTGGTCCGAGAGCGCTGGGAAGGCTCGGCTGGGGTGAGGTTTTGTTCCCTTCTCTCCACAAAATTCCGAGAAGCTGCAAATTGAGTAAGGAAATGTTGTAGTTCTCAGTTTCTCAGGCTTTCATCAACTTCCATTTTCAGTTGTGGGTCAGAGGGGGGAAGTTGGGCTTCTCTGCTATCAGCACTGCAGCAAGTGGAAGTGGGGTTTGGACTGGGATTGCTGGGGCAGTTTTGTTTTTCAGGTGTCGTTGAAATTCTTGTTAAAATCTCCTTTGTGTGAGGAACTGATGCTCCACGGGGATTTCATAATGGAAGAGGCAAAGGCATCTTTTTTTCCACGTCCTGCTCGTAGCTGGGGCTGGTTAATAGAGGGTTTTGGGAAGACAGATATCAGTTGTTGATCTCTGAGGGAAGCAGCTGATCTTCTCTACTTTTGGTAGCTTTGGGAAGTGCACAAGCACAAACTTCCCTCTGTGTGGTATCTCTCCTAATCTGAAATGTGAGAGCTCAGTAGCAGCTCAGCCATAATGTAATCTTTTTTCTTTTCGAACCTGCCGGTTCAAATGCAACTTGTGCTTCCAATAAAGCGGATTTTTTTTTTCACGTGCTGCAAACGTCTCCTCCCAGGACAGCTGATGTGCTGTTCGCTGGGACTGCAGATTTTTTTGCCATTTGTTTAGGATAATCTGTGCCAAGTGACTGTGAATTCCACCAGCTCTCTTATTTGTCTTGGCTGGATCTTATTGCCCTCGTGCAGTAGTTTGTGGTTTTCTTTTAAAATATTTGCCTTCCAGTATTTGTGTGGTTTAGGATGACCAAGAGTATCAAAACTGACCGATTTACAAACAGCCTGGAACTTAAATGCTCTTGATCTTATCTAGTCAGCAAATATTTACCAATGGACCGTCGGAATTGCCCAGCGCTGTGCCTGTGGATGGTTTTTAACAACTGATCATTGTGTTCTTTACCACGGGATTGTTTTCCCGGGGATTGTTGAATAAGATGTTGATGAAAGGGCTTGT